TTTCTATGAGTTTCGCTTTTTGTTATTAGTACTTGGGCCCTCCACGGTGATCTACTTTCTTCAATCACGCCCTCTGCTGTAAGGTTTCTGATCTCCTCTTTAATAAATTCGCTATCCTCTTTGCTGTGCCTTCGGGACTTAATAGCAATAGGTTTGCAGTTCGGAGATACATTCGCAAAAAGAGGTACAGCTGGTACTGATGCTTCAGCTACGTTACATACTTGAAGTGGATGTTTCGGCCCACCGAAAGAGAACTCTAGCGATGAATGTTCTTCGAGGACGTCGTGGCCGATAATTATGTCAGCACAAAGATTTTTCACGATAAGAAGGTTTACACTATCATATCTATGATTTCCGATTTTCAGCGTTTGCAAAGTTTGGCCTTCTACTTGTGAAGTATGATTTAGAGAAGCCATAGAAATAGTCTGATTGCAGGATTTTCTTTTTAACCCGCATAGTCTTGCAAAGCTGTCATTTATAAAACTGATGGAGCTGCCGGTGTCAAGAAGTGCCTCTGCTCTTATTCCTCGAATATAAGCGGATACAGTAGCCTTACGTAATGAAGAAGGTGACGCTGCTGTGATACAAGCGGAAAAATCTTCAGTACCTACTACCACAGAATTTGTAGGTTTAGAAGAGCTTCTGCAAACAGTGGCAAAGTGCCCCTTCTTGTTGCAGAGCTGACAAGTCTTTTCAAATGCAGGGCAGTTCTTACGAGGATGTATTTGTCCCCCACAAAAGAAACATTTTCGTCGACGAGGATTATTAATAGAAAAGCAGTTCTCGTCGTGCACAGTTTTAGGTTCTGGTTCTTTTGGGGCAACAGCGTTTAAAGAAAAAGTATTGAAGCTTTGAGAGTTGATCTCTGCAGTTTCTAGAGAGAGTGCTTGGTTATAAGCTTGATCAAGTGTTAGAGTTAAGTTTTCCAAAAGCCTTTGTCTGATTTTATGCGATGATATACCAGATATGAAAGCATCACGCACGCTATCGTTTTTGTTTGTTTCTGCATCAACAGCTGCAAAGTCACAATCTTTGGAAAGTAGTTTTAAAGCTCTTAAATATGTGTCAATACTTTCTTCTGGACGTTGTTTCCTTGTTGCTAACATGTGTCTAGCAAAACTCAGAATTTTCGGTTTCACATATAGTTTTTGCAGTATTGTGATCGCTTCTTCGTAGTCCGTGGCTTCACTTATGTATGTATAGATATTTGGTGATATATGGTTTACCAAAAGGTGAAACTTTATGCTGTCCCAATTTTCTGGCGGAGGAACCGACTGTGCATCTGTTTCTGGAGCGGTCGGTTTCTGCACAAAAATGAAACTTTCGAAAGTCTTACGCCAGTGTATCCAAGCTCTCGTACCAGAGCTATCTGACGGGTCGACATCAAACCTTTCAAGGCGAAGATACTTATCCATGTTGTTTTATTAGCTTATTAAATTGAAATAAGAGAAAACCTTTAATGTATATAAGGTTTTAATAAGCTAATATTAACAGTAGAATTCATTTTAGTAGCATTAGATACATTGACAAAGACACTAACAAAACAGATTGTCAATGACATTAGCTTATGGCTGATAGTTACAAGTAAGAAGTTTACATCGTTTACATCATTACATCATGAACAAGTCTGCGTTGCTACCAACCTAAAAAAATCAATCTGTCAGTTTCCTTTTTGACGTTTGAAAGTATTATTCGAGGGAAAACAATTTAGGAAAAATAAAACCATTTCGTTAATTGCAACTTTAATTTAATCTTCTGACTAAAGCGAACATATTTTAAGAACGCAACATAATGCTCACTGCTTTCGTAATAATACCATTATTGTTTAGTTCACCAACAAAAAACCCCAACTTTGATAAATGCTTATTTGTTCCAGTTTGTTTATTTGATAGGTCATATCAGGGGGTGGAAACTTAGAAGGACGATTTGTATGGAAAGTGGCGCCACCTTTTAAATCTTGGTAAACATCATTTCATCTCATGGCTAAGAAGAAACATCGTTTGTGTCATCAAACCGCTACGTTTTTTCGTATTTCTATTTCTGTTCTTGTATTCTTAGTTAAATGTTGTTTCATTCATTTTGTTTTTAATTAAAATGTGTTTTCATGAAAAAGGACGCTGTATGCAACTGTGTTTTTACAATGTGTTGTTACAATTCAATAAAAATTCTCATATTATTCCCATACGTCAGACTCATTTAAACATTTAAATATTTTCGTATTTTGGTGTAGTTTTTATTTAGCACCATTGTGATTTATACTTTCCGGTA